TGTAGTGAGCATTTTTAAAAAGCAAATTCTACGAACGTTGAATTTTTACTTTGTATGCTCTTTCTCTCATTTGTATATATATATATATATATATATATATATATATATATATATATATATATATATATATATAACAAACACGGACATATATATAATGTTAGATGATGTTCTGGGAAGTTCTCTGCCAGTTCATTATTTAATCATTGAAACATTTTGGGACGTGAATCGAGAACAGAACTTTTCATCACCCCCCCTCCCAATATATGTCTGTATCTTTTTAATAACTTGTAAGCAGCTACAATTGCCTTCAGAAGACATTCAAAGTTTTAAATATATATGACGGAGCTGCATTATTGTAAAATTAATCTTCTACTGGTTGTTCTTTTTTTATCTCGATATCTTTCAAGATTCAATCTGTCTTCTTATTTTGCAGAATGTGGCTGTTTCTTTTTACTCTTAAAAGATTGGCTTATATCAAGCAACTCCTGCTTTGTTGTATTTTCAGAATACGAAAAGAAACAAATTTGCTTGTCAAGAAAAAAATTGATAAAACATTAAATATAATAAGTGAAAACGGAGAAAAATTAAACCTAATATAATTTGTGGCATGGATGAAATACAAATCTGAACATTTTTTTCCATAGGTACCCCCCACCATACAAGGCAAAATGCCACTAAAACACTAGGGATTACTGGGTGTGTGAGAATTAGGAACAGAAATATTAATAATGAGCGCGAAGAGAAAAGAGCAATCAGGAGGATAGCAGATAACGATTGGCATTGCATTTAAATTTTTGGACATTGAAATTGGTTTGAAATCATGGAGCCAGAAGGGAATTCCACGAAATATGAGGTTTTTTTTTTTCGTTAATGTTCTTTATAAAAAAAATAAGCTTTTGATCTGTCTTATCGCCAGTCGTCTTGACTTTGATCTTGTTGCTGCCATAATACATCGTTAAATGGGAAATTGAATAAATTAGTCTCACATGTCCACCTACAAAACTCAGTATAAGTAAATCGTTGTTAGTACTGTTGTTCATGATGACGATCGTCTTTGAGTATAGAATCCAAAGGTTAGCAGTGAATATTTCGAAGACAGTAGGAAAGCGTAGTTCAGGTTAGCAGTGGATATCCCGGTAAAGTAGCAGAGCGTAGTTCTTCGTTCTGTTTCTCTTCACCTGACAAGCTGGCACTGGACATTCGGATAGAGTAAACAAAATGGCCGCCTTTATACACGACGAATTGAATATTCTACGTCTTCTGATTGGTTAACCTTCTATTGGTGGACTATAAAGTGAGTCAAGTCATTTGGGCTAGCTCACTAGTTAATACATATACACAAAAAAAACTGCAACAAGTACTGGGTGAGGGAGCAACACGTCCAAAAAAGCGATGCCTATGTACAGATATAAGAATCATGATGTTCAGTCTAATAAATGGTATTCCAGAGATGTGCCTCATGGCCAAAAATATGCGATCTGCTGACTGCTTTTGTGGAATGCAGCGCATAAACCTTCAGGTAGGACCCAGTTAGAAACACCTTCATGTCGGTTGACGTAGTTCGTTCAGACGGTATCCGATACCTAAATTATCTACACGTGTCTCCTAAGCCACCTTTGCTGCCTCAGACTTGAGACTTAAATAAATGAACCCTCTCTACATTGGTCATGGCTTTTCCCTTCTTCTCGTCTATGAACAAAAATGCACAATACGCCGACCCCAGGATATCATGTCCAAATTGCTAAGCTCATACAACTGGCAAACCTAATCTGTGGTACTGCACATCGTTCGGACTGTTGACCTCATCTTCATTGCCATATTCAGAAGATTTCGGCCATTGTATGCGCCGGCCTTCTTCGGGTGATATAGGTTGGAATTTCGAACCGAACCCTTTATTTAGTCCATAGGTTAGATTGTTCTAATTCCACGCGCCGTGCGTCTCCTGGATATCTCACTTTCAGTTAAATCCCTTTAGTAACTCTCCAATTTTTGTTCCCTGCTGTGACCAAGTATTGAACTCATAACTCTTTTGGGCTAAGTCACTTTTTGAGATTACTCAACAAACATACATGGACCAATGGATAAAAGCTTTGGTTGAAGTAATCCAAAAAAAGAGTTGTGTGTTCAATACCTGACCACAGCAGACGAAACAAAAAAACTTGGAGAGTTGAGTCTTCAAGGTGAGATTTCCAAAAAAGGTATGACACGTGGAATTAGTACAATCTCTCACAGTGGAGTAAATAAAGGGTTCGTTTCGAAATTCCAACGTATATCACTTGAAGAAGGCCGGAGCGTATAACGACCGAAACATCGTGAATATGGCAATAAAGATGAGGACAACCGTTCGGACGGTGTAAATAGTTATAATATAAGGGTGTTTCATTAAGACGGATCAGAGTCAGCAGTAAATAAATCGGTGTTATTGGTAAAAATTCATTCATTTCTCTATTGGATCATGTTATTTAAGTCATGGCAATTATGTGTGAAAAATAATATCGCCCAAATGTCCGCCAAATCTGAAAGAAAAAGATCATTAAACGCTTAAATTTAATTCACATTTAAAATCTATCCAAGTTATTGGAACACCCTATAGAAGTATAAACAGAGGATATTTACTGTAGCCCATCTTAATTCACTAAGGCAAAACATGTGCATGTTACCACTCCCAATCAATAAATGTTGAAGCCACGAGAGCCATGTCTGATGTAGCAGGTTATTATAATTATTATTATTATTATTATTATTATTATATTCTTGGTTTTGCATTTGTTCCCAATCTTTACTGATGCGATAGACATTTTTTTCAGTTTTTATTATTGAATGTTCTATGTCGCCATCTTGTTTTTCAACAACCCGAGATCGACTTGCATTATCGTAATGGCTTATTTATTTCCCTAGAGTTACATTACTCCACGTCTTATTTTTAAATACAACTTTTTATTTCCTTCTCGCTTTTTATTGTGCCAATTTCTCTACATGCTTCATCTACCCGGGTTCAATAATGTTTAAACTACTAAAATTCTTTCTTTTTTCTTTTAAAACCTATTTAAGTCTAAAAACATAAGCCACTTTCGTCTTGAATTTACGTTGAAGTGCTTTGTATATTTTGTTTGCATCCCGAGGAGTTCAGAATTTCAATATTTGAGTGAGGAATTTTTTTTTTTTAGTCAAATAAAGACACGTTGTTAGTATTTTCATGGATATAAACCTTGTGTCATTCATTGTGTGTATGACGGAAAATAACACGAATTTATTATCTCCACGAAGAACATGCTATACAAAACAAGAAAATGCAATACCGCTGATAAGTCAATGCCTGAGCGCGTATTAATACAAACGTACTACTTACGATGCGTTATATGCTGACTACCAGCCCCTGAGGTCCTGGACAGCAAGCTTCCTTTTTTTTTTTTTTTTTTTTTTTTTTTTTCAAGTCGGCTTCCTTCCTTTTCCTCAAGCAAAAAAAAAAAAAAATCCCGTTGCTCGATGGAGACATCTGATTGTCAATTTTATAAAACTCGGTAAATTTTATTAGGTTTAATGTTATCCTAACACCTTTCTTTGTCAGTAAAGTTTGGGCTTAATTCCTGACGACCGACATCCAGTAAAAATTTTGATGCCGTGCAGCTTTGGATTGGTTCTTGCAAAAAGTCGTACCCACCTGTTCTGCTATTCTGTTAAGGGTTTTGTGTGTGTTTTTTATATATATATATATATATATAGCAAAATTGTTCAAACCATAGGGTAATTGTCCATCCTAAAAAATGCTTGATATCTAAAAAAAAAAAGCACGAAACTAATCGAGCTCCTTTTTCCAGGTTTACAGATAAGACGTTTAGCCATCTTGATACCATTTGTTGAAAGAACCACTGAAAAACCTTTTGAATTATTCAGCTAGAAAGAGAACAGGTTAAAATCATTTCGTGTCAGATCCACTGTCTTCCCAAATGAGCAATGGTGAGAGGAAAAAGATCATTCAGGCCTTCAGTAATGGTACCAACATTCATACTCTGGCTTCCATCTTCAAAGTCCATTCAAGAACCATCAAGAGAAACGGTGAATTAGTTTTAAAAAGAAAGAACAGAGAGGAAAAGTGGATCAGGAGGTCTCTATAGCAAGAGAGATCATCATTTCACCTTAGAGCTAAATAAATTCTTATCGTTCAAACTAGAGTCCAAGAGTGTTATAAAAAGCTCGGAGAATTCCAGAAAGATATATTTAATCATTTCTAGGATACAACGGCTCAAAGCTTAATCTAACAGTTGGATAATTTTGCTGTTACACGATTTGGACAAGTTTGCTGTTACACCTGGTATATATGATAAAATAGTTTTAAATTATACTATAATCATGCGTAAAAGTGTTCAATATAAGAGATACAGCGTATGTAGATATAAATGGGGACACTTAGGTTAACACGGAGACAGTTTGTTTCATACTTTAACGCAATCTTCAGGCTAACACACATGGCCTAAACATTGCGTTGAAGCATGAAGCAGACTGTCGTCGTTTGATGTTGATCTCAGGATAGTTGAGTTCGTTAAACTCTACTTCACGCAAATAGCCTTGGTAAAGATATGAATCCATCACTTCAACCCCACGACCACCATAATTATGAGTTAACTAGTTCGACAATCTGGGTTCTTCAGTTTATATTGGCAACGAGTCTTCGTGCAAAATTTGTAGAGTTGTCTTCTCTATCATGAAAATGGCTACAAGATTAAACGAAAAGCACTCGGGGAAAAGTATCACCATTGAAAATTGCCCCACAAACTTCTCAAAGAAAGAACTTTTTTTTTATCTTGCGAAAAAAAATTAGCTTAGATAAACTCGCCATCAAACGATTATATTTGGTGTTGGTGTGGGTTCTTTTCTACCATTTCGCTTGCTTCAGTATACGAGGTTGATTTGCTTGACACATCCTTATTGGCTGGATTTTGATCTGAAATTTTCTTTGTATAATGTTCGGTTTATAGGATTAATATTCAACACGATGTAAGACTTCACTATCTCACGTTCAGTGTCTCCAGCTATCAGTCTCTTTCCGTTCCGTTCATATCTTTCTGCCTCTCTCTTTCCCTTCATATCTGTCTGCTTCTCTCTTTCCCTTCATATCTGTGTGCCTCTCTCTTTCCCTTCATATCTGTCCGCCCCTCTCTTTCCCTTCATATCTGTCCGCCCCTCTCTTTCCCTTCATATCTGTCCGCCCCTCTCTTTCCCTTCATATGTCTGCCTCTCTCTTTCCGTTCATATCTGTCTGCTTCTCTCTTTCCGTTCATATCTGTCCGGCCCTCTTTTTCCCTTCATATGTCTGCCCCTCTTTTTCCCTTCATATGTCTGCCCCTCTCTTTCTGTTCATATCTATCTTTTTCTTCTCTCTGTGTCTTCTCTTTTCAGAACTGATTTCATTCCGTCCCCATTCATTTCTTTAAAAGACCGTCATGCCATTGTTGTTACCAACAACAATAGATAACGTTATAATTTTTACCATATTTTAGTCAAGAAGGAAGATCAGTGTCATTAAACAGGGGTCAGGCAAGTAAGCTAGTTTCTTTTCGGTGGCTATGTAGATCAAATCATCCCACTAACCTGTACACGTCGTGCTGAGTAGAAATTACAATTTCTTTTTCCATAATCTTCTATGTCCACTTAATGTTACTCTTTTCAATATCGATGATGATAATAAAGATGGCTCTTGAGCTGGAGGCGTTCAAGTGATGAGTAGCTGCTAATGGCGCTTCGCAAACTCGCAGCAGAAGCGATATTACTTCTACCCAATTTGTACGATTCTTCGTTTTCGATGTGACAAAATACAATGGAAAATATGTTGCTGAAAGTCAGTTCATTTTAAATATTTTCTGGCACTGCCATTGACTGAAAACGAAGCATAATGTATAGAAGGAGTGTCGAGAAGACACACACTGTTTTCTGTGTATGCTTTTATTGTTGTATTTGCTGAAGAGCTCACACTTTGGAGGTCGCTTGGGCGAACTCTTTTAGATAGAGACTTCATGACTTCATATATGAATAAATTCCGTCTTCGATTCAACATGAGAGATATTCCAACAATAAGGCGTATAACGTACACACACACACACACATACATATATATATATATATATATATATATATATAGTGTGTGTGTTAAGGCACCAATCACTCTTTTATACAGGTTTTATTGAAGACGACTGATAAAGCACTGTGATTAAGATTTTTCTTAAATTCGTACAAGTGATTTCTTTTTGGGATATAGTGCCTAAGAACTGTACAAATGACCTTTAGATCCGAATGCATTCGGGTAATCTATTGGACATATTTTATCACAATAGGAATGGTTTAATTATCCGAACACGGTCAGTAAGTTGTAGCCTTGTTCATAATTATTGTTAACGCTTCCATTATTATGAAATAAGAAACCAGCTCTCAGTAATGTCAGTTATGAACAAGACTGATTGAGTTCAGAAATGATAACCTCCCCCATTGCTATAAAAAAAAAAAAAAGAAATTTATGTATTCAGAAAAACCAAAAAACATTCTTGATAATGTCTAACAGATTAGACAAAATTGCTCGAACCCACAGATCAATTGGACAGTTCTTACACTCTGCGGTAGTTTATTTACTGATAGACTTATAAATATGTAAGATACATTCGGGTGAGAAAATTGTCTCGCGCAACACAGTGAAGCAACTTTCCTAGCAGCAAATCGAGCAGTTGATTCAATATAATCTCCCTGCTTGAATGTGAATTGTCATTTTATACGAGTAAATGAAAGAAGAGCTATTCCTGTCAATATATATATATATATATATATATATATATATGTATATAATTATTCTTCGTGAATTCAATAAGAATAAAACAGAAAAAAACATTTATTGATAGTAAGTATAAACCACAGAAAATAAATAAGAAGAAATTGGTCCTACGGCATGCATAAAAAAAGTCAGAAATTGGCTTGAGAAGTTTGCTTTCTATTTAATGTTGTTATGTCCGGGGGAGCAAGTACGCTGTCCTAGTTTTGTGTAAATACCAAAATAAGTCTTACCTCGAAGACATTTGGTGTCGAAAGAAAGTGAGCTAACCCCTTTAATGGAAGTTGTCGCATTAGGTGTCGGTTGATGAGATTTTAATTCTAACCACCAGAAACCTCTTTTGCATAGAATTGCTATTTTTTTTAGCACAATGGTTTAATTTTCGCCATTTTTTTTTTTTTTTTTTTTTTTTTTTTGAATCGGATTTTTTTTCATATAAAGAGGTTTAACCTCTTATTGGATATACTTGACAGGGTTGAAGACTGTATTTAACAATAACACGATGAACTGTCTTCGTGACATCTCTCAATAAAGAAATTACTTGGCGAACTACATTTGTCCTGCAAGCAACATAAGACAATTACTTCTCACTTTCACTATATTAGTTGTTGGTTTTTCTCTTGATTCCAGAAGTTATCGGTCTGCCATGTTGGACATATTATCGCGTCTCTGTATCAAGAAGAGTTCTTAATATTTATCAAAAATATATTCCAAGAAGCACTTTTTTATTCCAAATTAAGGATAACTTTTTTTTTATTCCCAAATAAAATTATAACCAGACATTTCTGAGACACACACTGAGGAAAAAGGGCATGAAGAATTTGATACGCCTATGATATACTGAAGGGCATGAAGAATTTGACGCTCCCATGGTATACTGAAGGGCATGGAGATTTTGACGCTCCCATGATATACTGAAAACAAGCGAGAGGGAGAGAGAGAGAAACCTGCCTAATGACCTTGTGTAAGTAGATGATAGAAGGAGTAATAGTGAAAAGACAAACCCGTAGAAGATCTACAAAGGATGGGAAATCGTGGCGAGCCGTGATCGCATACCTTCTGAAGTGATCTGGCATAGAAAAGTAGAAATGATTGAGACAAACGTTTCCAGGATTACATACAACAAAATTGAGCTGACGGAGATCATATATATATATATATATATAATATATATATATATATATATATATATATAATATGTGTGTGTTTTCTTTTTCTTTTTCCTACTCTTAAGCATATTATATCAGTAACTATCTCCGTGTTATCCATTTTATCACTGGGAGGATTTATTAAATCCATGTATAACGTCTCGGTGAATTTTGTCTGGAGGGAAGAGAGATGGGTAAAAAACATACACAGATGTGGTTTGATGTCATTTTTTTTTTTTAAGTCGGCGTTGGAAATGTGTCGGCTTTTTTCTTATTGCCAATTCTCAGTTTTCCACCAACTGCGCCATTTCGACAACTGATCTGTACGCTGTTTATGAAAAACCAGGAAGTATTTGCCAGAAGGCGGGAAAAGCATTGTTAACATAAGGACAATTATCTATCTAATGTTGATGCATTGCTAATGATATTACATTGAAAGTGAGCTATGTAATATGATCAATGGTCAAGAATTGTAGCAAATATTGTTGTCCGAATAGAAATGTTTATTTTGTTTTAATCATTTCACCCAAAGCAAGGTGATAATCCCACTAAGACGCGGGGGCGTGGTCACTGAGAGTGAAAGATGAGATAGCTTTAGTAAGGAGAAAGGACAATAAAAGAACAAGATTCCGGAAGAGAGAAGATGGCGATTGAAACCATGTAAATAGTTATAAGCATATCACACATAAGACTCGGTTTTAGTTAGGAAATCAGACATAAGTCGAGAGTTGGAAGAGAATTTACGAGCAAAGCATTCTGTTTTATCAGTATCAGATGGCAACACTTCAAACTGTTTCAAGAGAGGAGGGATTGAGGATTTACCTTAGTTTAATACACTCTTACAGGTCGGAGCGTACAACGGCCGAAACGTTGTGATAAATGTGGCAACAAAGATGAGGACATTACTCCGAATAATATAAATAGTGTACATAATACCTCATCTCAGAAATATAAACAGGTTTTTATCATTTTAAATGTTATTTTTGATGGATGCCCATATTTGAGTAGACGCTCCGTTTATTTTAAACAGTATAGTTATTTTCGTCTACCGGCTTAAATATTCAAGAAATCTCATTACAAAAAAAGAATAAGATCGCTTATGATATTATTTGCGTTGCCAATAATGAAAATATACAGGGTGACTCCAAAAATATACTCAATCTTTTTTAACTAATTCACTCCAAGCAAGGCGATAATGTCACTAAGATGCAAATAGCTACTACGAGTGAAAGCCAATGAAAAAAACTTTAGGAGCCGGAAACCCATATTCTAAACAGGAATTAAACCTCTAATTCAATTCAATAGCTCAGTGAGGAGTGTGAACCGGACGATAGGCGATCATATCTATTCCTACTGAGGAAAAGTGGTAAATCAAATTTCATAGTTCAGGCAGAGATGTTAGAAGTACAGATATGAATTAGACTCCAGCAGGTACCTAAAACCCAATCCTAAACAGGAAATTCTAAAACCCAGTCCTAAACTGGGAATAAGGGATAAACCTCTACTTTTGTTCAAAAGACCGGGGAGTGGTTTTTAGCTTGCAAATAAGATTAGGGGTTAAAAATTAAGAAATTATTGACTTAAAAGTAAAATTAACGGTTTAAATTAAATATTAAATGGCTGTATCTGTAAAAAAAAAAAAACATGTAAAAAATTATAAAAAATCAAAAAGTAACTACATTGTTTCAGGACACCCTGTATTTTGTAAATCCTGGCAGATACGTTAGCTAGTATATATATATAGAAGCATTAATTACTCTTGATGTTTGAGTTTTGTTTATCTGAAACAAAAAGATTTTTCGGGGATGATTTGGTCAGTCTTTTGTTGATTTTAATTGTTTTTTCTATTTTTGTAATGCTTAACATTAATAAGAAACAAATAACAAAATACATTTAAAGTTTAGATAATTTTCCTTTTGTTGTTGATTTCCAAGAGTTTTTTTTTGTTTTGTTCAAAGTCTTTATCGCTGAAATGAATTGACTACCTCTCCCACCTCGTCCACACTGATCATTATATTTTATATTGTAATTTTTTTTGTTGACAGGTGCTTTTTTATGTACGGTTAACCTTGCATATCAAGCTTCTGCGTTTTGGAAATATAAAAACATTTTTTTCTATACATTATTTCTCCCTCCCCCACAACTTGCAAATCTTTTTTCATTCATTGTTAAATCACGAGTTTTAAAATAAATTTATCAAAAGAATAATTTGGAGACAATATAGCGTTAATTCCTACGATGGGGTGGGGGAGGGAGTCACTTCTGAAATCCTGCTTTTAATTGAACACCCCCGCCCTAGTGTCTCTAGATATTAAGCATAAAAAATACCTGTTTACTTCATGACTTTTTTCTTTTTTAATTAAAAACCAATACAAGGCCCAAGAGCCACACTAGGCAGAGGGCTACTGAATGTGGAGTATGGCATGAACGCAAGAGTAGAAAGTGAAGATTACGAGGATATAGCAGATGT